CTGGAAACAGTGCTAAGCTGTAATAAAACCCCGAATTCCGACTTTGTTTTTACCAGAGGTACGTGAGAGATTGGAACTGTAGTTGTTACCCAAACGCAACTATAATTTTTACCGAATTATTTTGAACTGCTGACGAGAAAGCACAGTGGTAAAATTTGATGTTTTTCCGGTACTCGGACATATCGTTTTCGTATTTTCAACAGCATTCCTTTCGCTGCTTTGTAGTGCTCTTAAAAATTGTTGGAAAGTAGAAAAAGTTTTACTTCTTTATTCCCCTCCTTCCCTCACTTACAACCTGGTAACAAAATCAGTCATACCGATAACGTTTAACACTGAGGGGGCTGATTTTACGAATTTTGTCCAGTGAAAAATTTCGTAAACTTACTGAAATAACCTTTCAGCCTTTTTCCTTTTTCCACTTTCATCATTTTCATGTGTTTTTGCATATTACGCAAATGCAAAAACGCATGTTGGCAGAACTGTCTGAGTGTGCTCAGCTAAAACTGCGAAATGTCCAGAACAAGTGCGGAGAGAAGAGGAGTGCCGATAAAGCTTTTTTGCAAGCTAGATTACACAGTACTAGCTATTTTGTGAAGCCTATTTTGCGTGATTGTTCATACTAAAGGTGTTCTACAGGAAGCGGTGCACGTAATGATGCAACATCCTACCACGTACATCGCAGTATCGTTAAGCGACGCTCGTTTATGCTTGAGGGTATTTTCAAAGAGAAGTGTTCTCTTCCGACCGACCAGATGCTCGTTGTGGATACTGAGGATCGCATCATTTTCCCTCACATCACTGACGAGGATATGAAATGCGTTAGTAAAATATTTTTTATTATTTCTTTATGCCTGATTTTCTTTATTTTTGAAAAACACGTAAAAAATTTCCGATTTTTTCCGAAAATTTATTGTATTTTCGAATTTTATAAAAAAATTTCAAAATGCGTGTTAAATTTCTACGGTATTTTCAATTTTTTATTTACTAGTGATATTCATTAATGGAGTAACAGTAAATAGTAGATGCTTTCTGCTACAAACTAATTACATAATGCTAGAAATTGAATACCTAGCACACAACAAAATTTGCAAACCCGTTCAACCTTTTTGAGCTTCGATCCGCTAGCTTTCTAGGATAGGAGACCGAAACGAGATGAAAAGCTAGCAAATGTTGATGCCAGCTAGACCAATAATTAATCCAGTTTACAGGAAGTTTTTTCTTACACAGACCAGTCAATAGCTTCTATACTCCTCAGAATTATTTAGCATTCGGGATTAATTGTATAACTGAAAACTTTTATATTACTTTGTTTGCCCATCGGTAAGGCTACATTATGCATTGTGCTGTCGGAATGCTCGCAGACGTATCATCAAATATCAGCGCAGACTTAGCGTGAACATTCTTGTTGGCATATTTTGCACGAGATTATAACGGATTTCGCACAAATTTGTGTTCAAAACAGGGACGATAGCTGGCGTGCATGGCTACAAATCTCCAAATGACCACTACGTGAAACTATTAAAGGGCATACAAGTGATCGTTTGACCATCCAGTTGCCACGCAAGAAGCGCTCATATTATCATCAAGCTGGTGCACAAACTGACATTTCCGCAAGTGCATGTACTTTGCAAATGCACATAATATTTTCAGCTGCTCACGTATTTATACACCGGCCAAGTGGTACTTCCGGAGTTTGATGGGTTTGCACGCGTCGGGCGTGTTTTGTCGCTGCTAGTGGATCGCGAACAACTGAAAGACATTTTCAAGGAGTGGCAAAAAATGATTGTCAGTAATCTTCTGAAAGTCGAAAAGGTTCACTCTTATAATTATATATCTCAAAAATTTTAACCGATCGAATGAACTATGGTGAAGAAGAGCCATCAAGCTTACAACAGCAGTAACTCTGGTTTCAAGAAAAGACGACACCGTCACGAGCGTGCTCTTGGCTATTATGACGTTCAACTTTTTATTGCTTGACATTTGCGATATAGGATCGAAGGGCCTAGCGTAGCTGCATTCTAGTAACATCACTAACATGGTATACCCATACTGACTGTCTAACGTAGTTTTGGTTTCCTGATATTTCACGTTAAAATGTATTAACGGTTTAACTCAATGACGAAATGTCGTACAGCAGAATGAGGAACAAGGTGTTATGATGCAACAGGGATATGTTCGTATTCGGCGTGATAGTGAGATTCCCTAGTTGTAAGATTTCTGCGTGAATCCATTTGGTGTGATCCAAAAAACTACCTTCAGGATCAGAATTCCTTACTATTTTTTCAACCTAGCCTCACTGATAATCCGTACCGGCCGCTTTCCGACAAGTGCTGGATGCTAACCTATGACTAGAGTGTCAGGGTTTTGCTAGAAGCATGCACGCTATGCAACAGCGTTACTGGTTTTCGAGGTTGCATGAAAAACGAACTGAAAGTTGTTGTGTTTGATGCGACATGAAAGTTCACTCAGAGGCTTGATTTAGCAGCGGACCTCGAATAAGTGCGTCTTATCGTGTAACTGAGTCAGAGCAAAAAGTAATAAAAACGAAATCCAGAGTGCCTTTACGTATTCCTATCACAATTACACACAGCCACTTCTCAGAGGCGTGTTGGCAATCGTGATACTTTCAGGAGAATGACAGCGATAAGATTGTTGATGCGTGCTTGAAAGCGCTGTTGTCTGTGTTCAGCGCGCCCTATGGAGCGTTGCCGTGTGCAAAAAGAATGTCAGTGTCCATGCTCGCTGACCAGGTTCATCCATTTTTAGTCGCTTTTTTATTTGCTACAGAATTTTGAAAAAGAAAATACCGTTGGATCGTATTGCGACGAGACGA